AAAATAAAATCATTACCCTACCTAGGGTTTGCATACACAGACAGAATCGTTCCTTAAATTCCCTAAAGCACTTCAAGGCAAATTTCTGGAAGTACTAAGAGGTCTTCAGCTAATTTTGGATGCTTTCTGCTCAGCTGTCATGCTGGTACTGCCAAAGTCCAACCAGTGTCCAACAGCCTGGCCTTAAACCTCTCCCTGGAATAGGGTCAGTCTGGGCTAACAGTCCTGTGAGTGACTGTGGCTGAATCCTGGAATGGTTTGGGTGGGAAGAGATCTTAAAGATCATCTCATTCCAGCCTCCTGCCATGGGCAAGGACACCTTCCACTAGACCAGATTGCTCCAAGCCCTGTACAAGCTGGTCTTGAACACTTCCAGGGATGGAGCATCCATGATTTCCCTGGGCAGTCTGTACCAGGGCCTCATCCAGCAGCTCCGATGCTTCCCAGGAAACTAAACCCGCCGTTCTGTGTCAAAACCAGAACTGACAGCATGTCCTTGCATTGCTTCACTTCATCCCATAAAAAAGCTGGCCACTAGGTTGTTCCCAAGCTTTCCATCAGCCCTTCCCTGCTTTAGCAGTCCCCCATATCCCTTTCAAGCATCTTTTCCTCCTCCAGTGGTCTGGGTACAGCCGGCTATTGCATAACCCTAATTATGTGATTGCTGTAATTGCTCTGCCGTCTGCAGCTCATGGATTCGTTACAAGCTTTTCATATGCTAAAATGATTATTAATGAGCGCAGTCCCAACCCAGCGACAAACAACAACCACGACAAAAAGATCTTTTGGAAGGCAATTAGCTCCATGCTAAGCTGCCTAAACCATGGGCTGGGCTGGAAAATTTCAGGCTGGAGAGGAAGCACTGGCAACATGGCTTTTCTCTTCTCTTTTGTTGAGTTAATGAGTTACTGAGTGGCAGCAGGCACAGTTTTTCTGGTGAAACAGCTCCCCTAAGGAGCCTTTCCAGGTTGGTACTGAAGGAAAGAGCATTTACCCCTGGATAAACATGTATTCCCAGGTCATTGTGATGTATTCCCAGGTCGCTGCTGTATTGCTTTCCTTGGGAAAACAAAGCAAAACAAAAGAAAACAAAGACAACTCAGGGAAAGAGGAGGTTGTGGAACAAAAAAGAACAGTTATTCTTTAGAACTCTATACTGGTGCATCCCAAATCCTTCTCCATATTTCAGTGGCACTGGATGGTCTCATGGGCTCTCCACTCCAAGCTAGGCTGGGGTAAGTTGCTGTGCTAAAATGATACCTATGAGGTCACATCCCAAGGCCTGGTTACCCTCACATCCTCCATCTGAGCTGATGATGTGCTGGAATGATGGACTTACCTGAGTTCCTCATTACTTTTATTGCTTCTGAAATGTAATGAACAAATTTCCTGTCATATCAGAGGATAAACAGCCTTGAGGTAAGAATGGAGGCTGTTCCTGGGACTCAGAGGAAACTCGAACACGTAAGGCTGGATCTTTTGATTTCTGGCTCAGGATTTTCTGGAAACAGCTGGGAAAGAATCCATTAGAGGTAACCAAAACTGGAGAAGGGGAGAAGTAGCAAGTGATGCACATCTGACCAAGTAGTCACTGTCTTCTACTTCAGACTCTCACTCTGACCCTTTGGGTGCAGGTTAAGGTGAATTTGCTGCTTTGCCACCTTTCTGTCTCATTCAGAGGGAATCTGGTTTAGTCTTGTGTTCCCAGCCTCCTGCTGGCTTTGGAAGTGTGAGCCAACGACCTGTCCAGGTCTCAGGTGAGATCTGAGCCCTCAGCTTGGTGTTGCTCACTGGTGACAGAGCATCCCATTCCCCCTGGAATTACCTCACAGCTCTGCTCTGGTGTGAGGGAGAGCTGTCAGCTGCAGGGTCTGAGGGAAGCAGCACAAAGACACACAGACTGCAAATTCCAGCAGTGCAAATGCAAGGACCTCTGGGGTTTGGTGACAGCTTTTGCATTAGGGGGATGCAAATGGCAGAGAGGCCCTAAGTGCCTCTGAGGATCCCGGCTCAAATAGAAGGTAAATAAAGACTCAGCAGGGATGTTGTCATCCCCCTGCTAGGCTGCTTTAATATACACATCCATCATTTCTTTAGAGAGTGCAATGATGGCTTCATTAGAAACTCTTCTGTGTAAATAAGTTATTGGGCCACTGCAGAATTCGGGTGGAAGGATGTTATGTCTTCTCCCTCAGATGGGTTTGGTTATTGATACATGCTTTTTTTTTCCCCTTCTTCTTCTTTTATTTTTGCCACAAAACACGTTCCCACAATATCTTGGTGTGCAACCTTAATGGGAAATGACTGCTCAGGTGTGTGATGCCAGGGAATTGAGTCTGGAGACCAGGACACTTTGGTCTGATGGTGGGTAATGGCCCGTGAACCCAGAACACTGAGATCACAGCTGGAGAGTCTGTCATGGCCACAGAGGCCTCCAGGCCCTGAAACTCTGATTCTTGAAGCTCAGATCTGTGCATCCCATCCCTCTCTCCAGGGAGTGTTTCCTGTAGCTTTTCCTTGCTCAGATGAGTCATGGGAGTGTTGTGATGCTGGAAAATGATCTCTGAAGGGCTGGAAAGGGATAGGCAGCTTTCAGACCCTCGTGAGTCACAGACTCAAGAGGCTGCTGCTACCAGGTGGAAGGGAAACAGGAGAAACTTGGAGAAGCAGATGATAAGTGTCTGTGCTCTGCTTTTTGGGAGCAGCCTGTCCCTACACCCACCACCCTGCCACCATTTGATGACAGCTGAACAAGAGAGGAAAGGGAACATTTTGACTGGTTGTCAGAGCCAGACTGGCACCTCTGCTTTCCTCCACCTGCCTCATTTATTTTTGCTGTGATTTAATCCCCTTCCCTTCTCATTTCACCCAACAGGAGGGTGCCAGTCAGTATTCATGAGGAGCTGGGCTCTTCTCCATGGCCTCTTCTCCATGGGCTCTTCTGAGGCACCATAAATCAATGCATTTCACTGCACTGCAGCCTGTTTTCCCCCCAAGTCTGTCAACTGTGCTGGCTGCATGTGGATGTAGGGGTTTTTTTTTGGATGCCCAGGTGCACCTTGCTTTTTGGCCATAGGATTCCTTGTTTTCTCAGCAATGTCACGGATGCCACCAGTTCCTGACACTCTTGTCCAGGTAGTATAGATCTGATTTTGGCCAGCAGCTGATGCTGAGATTGAGTTTTTCTGGAAGTAGTAAAGGTCTAGAAATATTCATTCATCCTGCTCACCGTCTCCTCCTGGAGGTAATTTCTCAGGGAAGGTCCTCTTGGCATCTCTAAATGCCTGCTTTACTCTCAGGCAGCTCTTCAGGTGTGCCTGGGGATGGAGGGTTAGACAGAGTGTAAAGTAAAACCAAGCCCAGACTCAGAGTACTGGGAGTGAGCAATATTTAGACCATGGGACTGAGTTAGACTGGCATTTTTGGCTGCTCCTGAGCCCAGCAGACAAGATGCCAGAACTCCAGAGAGAGTAATGCTTTTGTACCTGCTGGAAGTTGCAGTAAAATTAATGAGGTTTGCATGAGCTTTTATGATGAACCAGAGTCTGGCTCTGGAAGGAGTCAGGTAAGAGGACTTTGCGTAGAGCTGGGAGAAGAAAATCTGCCTCATGTGCTTTCATGTCCCAAGGGTTACATCAGCATCCCACCACCAAAACCAGGATAGCAACTGAGACCAGTTGCAGTAAACCAGGATGGGACTGCAGGGCACAAAACCAGACTTTGCAAAGCTGGATGTGGAGGGGTTTCCCCCTGTGCTCTTGCTCTGTGCTGCCTTTCACAGGAGGCTCCAGCAGCTGCTCACCCCACTCTATCATAGAGTATTTTCCCTCTCATCTGCATGAAGAATCTTAGCATACAGCACTTCAATGTCCAATTTCTCTGCAGTGGAAAACAGGCTCCATCTCAGCAGGTGTCTCAGTGCTGTTTACAGGACACCTGTCAGCTCTTTTGGCTCCCTGTCCCCTCTGCCTCCTAATTATAAAATCGTGGATTGATGCAGCTTTTTTTTTTCTTTCTTTCTTTTTTTTTTTTTCCTTGTGCACAAAATGTCAAATTGCAGAAATTAAAAATGTAAATGATGGAGTCTAATTAACCAGTTGACAGCGGAGCACAGCTGCAAATGACAGTGACTGATTACCTTCTGCAAACCTTGTCCTCCAAGACCTGCCTTACCCTGGAGAGGAAGGACATCAAAAATAGCAACTTCCTTAAAGAGACATCACTCTGCACATGAGGCCTGTTGGGCAACGGTTCTGGGGGATCCAAATCCTATGGGTAAAACCCCAGACCTCTTGAGCACAGGTGGAATGGTGTTGGTTGCTAAGGAAAGCAGATTTCCCCCAGTCCCAGTGGGGATGTGAGGGTTGAAGGCTGTTGCCAGAAACATCACCTTAAAATGCGGGGCAAAATGGGGATGCTGAGCAGCAGAAGAGTTGCTGGGTAGACTGGATTGAGTGGTGGAGATGGGTGATGTCAGCACTGTGGGCAGATGTACTTGTGTGAATGGCACAAGCAAGAATCAAGGGGGTTTTTTGGAGGTTTTTTTGTGGTTTTTTGTTTTTGGTTTTGTTTTGGGGTTTTTGTTTATGGGAATGAAATGCTGAGCCCTCAGTGGGGCTTCTCTGTGGGACTAGAGGCAGGGCTCAAAGTCCTTGAAGGTCAGATGAAGGAATTCAGCATTCCCTTCCTCCTGCTTCTCTGATGGCATGGAGAACGTCCCCAGGATGCTCTTTGGGACTTCAATCTCAGCTTGGGATGGAGTGAATACAACACATGCCTGGTGCTCAGGATCAATGCTTCAACAGTGTTTGATTTCTCTAAGTCATCTGCCTTGCTGTAAAAGGCATGACCATGTATTTCATGACCAGGTATTTCACTGATGCACCAGCAGAGCCCAAACTGCAAAATGTGGTTTTTCTCTTTATTGTGGGCGAATTTCGTCTCTTGACGAGTTGAAATTCTCTCTCCCCTCAAACAACCCCTGTATTTCTCTCTCCCAGGTACTACTCAGACATTGCCAAAATGCCAGCCATCAGTGACCAGGACATGAATGCCTACCTGGCTGAGCAGTCCCGCATGCACATGAACGAGTTCAACACCATGAGCGCGCTCTCAGAGATCTACTCCTACGTGGGCAAGTACAGCGAGGAGGTGAGAGCCTTGGAGAGGTTCTGAGGGACCATGGCACAGCCCACCCACGTGTCACAGATGCCTATCTTCATCCTGGCTAGGGGGGGTGATGGGTTTATGGGATGAGAAGCAAGGCTTGGGGCCTGTAAAAGGGAAGGTCTGGGATTTTCGGTCTCCGCAGCACTCTTCTGTCTGGATCACTGTTATTTTTATCTCCTGCTATTGGTCAATCAGGTTTAGCTGGCTTGCAGTAGATGATGGTCTGCTTGGTGCAGAGGAGCCCTGCATGAGCTCTGCATCTCATGTGGCCAGAAGTGGTTTAAGAACATGTGGCCAAAATTTGTTTACGAACATGTGGCCAATGCAATTCCAGATACCCTAAAGCACCCAAGAATGGTCCAGCAGGCATGACACAGACTTTAAGGTGTCCAGCACAGTTCTATGCATTGAAGGCCAGGTGAGACCCTTTAGGGCATCTCAAGTGGCATGGCCAGGTGATGAATAAAGCTATTAAATAACTGATCTCCAAGACAAGAATCTGTTTGACTGGTTGAAATCTAAAGGTCTGTATTTAGTGAGATCAAGCCCAAACTGCCTGCATAGTTCCCTGCTGGCCGACTGACCTGCTTTGCATGATCTAAGCTAAGCCTGGGACTTACCTTAGAGAAAGCTAATCCTCATCTGCTGCTATAAGATGCTGGACTCAGTTGTTTGGGGGAAAAAAAATTAACCCTATCACTTTTTCCTCTTTCCTTTTCCAGATTCTCGGAGCCCTCGACCAAGACGACCAGGCTGGGAAACAGAAACTTGCCTACAAACTTGAACAAGTCATAACCCTCATGAGCATAGACAGCTGAGAACTGTCCTGCCAGGGCCACCCTGGGAGGGATAAACCAAGTCGTGCCTCACTCAAGATCATCATCTTTACCAAGTGCAAGTTTTGATGGGCTGTAAGCAGAGTCACCCACACAGCTCCTCTCTCATTCTCTCTCTCTTTCTCTCCCCCATTTCTCTCTCTTTCCAAATCTATGGACGAAGTGACAGAGCCCCAGGGGTTAAAGGAAAAGACTGCAGAGGAATCTTGGCTCTGGGGCCATGGAGACATTCAGGTGGAGCTCTCCTTTTCACAGCTTCCCCTCTGCCTTCACCCTAGAGAAAAACTATTAAACACACAAAAAAACACCCCCCACAAACCCTCCCCCAACATCTCATCATCACTCTGCAGAGGCAAAATTGGGAGGTAACTTCTGTCATGCTGCTTTAACTGCCCTCCAAGGGCTTGTAGCCCCTGGAGGGGACATGGAAATGAACTCAGTATTACTCAAAGTCTCCCCAAGGGGAAGGCAGCTGCCTGCAGGGATCCTGGAGGGCAGAGCAAATCCAGCTCCTCTCCTGCAGAGCCATCACAACTCTATCTCCTGAGAGTGACCCACCAGGAGAGGAACCCCAAGGCTCCCCGGAAAACGCCAGAGTGGGACCACTGTGGCTCTGACCTGCCTGGTGTAGCTGCTCCCTTGGGGCAGGGAAAGGGTCAAGAGGGGAGGAGGAGACCAACTCTCCCCTGCCTATGTGTTTCATATGGTTATTCTTATTTTTCCAAGAGACACGTGTCCCCCTCCGTCTTTCCCATCGTGTCCTGTTGGTCGTAGCACTGCGGCAAAATTGCTCTCTCTGCTCAGTGGCCTCCTGTCAGTGGTGGTTCTGCTCCTTCTGGCAATGGACAGCACAGCATCTCCCTTGTTCCCACCTCAGCTTGGAAAGCAAGAGCCACAGGTCTCATTTTGTTCCATCCTCAACAAAAAAAAAAACAAAAAACAAACACATAAACAAAAAAAAACAACAAACCACCTAGAGGGATTTTTTTTTTTTAAAGCTGTTAATTCTTTCCATTTTGTTTCCTCAACTGGAACAAAGGTGTTGTTTTCTCCTGGTGGAATATCAGAAGGACACTGAAGGGTTTTCCAGGAACCAAGGTGGTGCACAGGACTGATGGTAAAACCTTCCTTCCAAGCCACTCCTAAGAGGAAATGTCACCACACGTGAAAAAATCTTGGAGGAAATCCAAATGAAACAGTGCAAAAAAATTCTTCTACCTGCAGCTGAACTGCTGGTCTTCTGGAGGTCTCTCTGAAGCCCATCTGCCTTTTGATGCCAATTCCTGGCCTTTCCTCCTGTCCACCTCTGGAACCAACAGGCCTTGCTGAAGGATTTTATCTCTCTTTGCACCTCTTACCCCTTCAGAGATCACTGTCACCGCAGGACAATTGTAGGTGATCACCCTGTCCCATCCTCTGCTCAGCTCCTCCAGAACAACATCTCAACCTGTTTCATGGCCAACCAAAGAGGAGTGAACTCCTCCATCTCCCCTGCCTTTGGCTGTTCTGTTCACACAGCCTGGATAACACCATGGTTAGAGACCCTCGAGGTGTGGAGAACCTTGTACACCGTGGAGGCAAGAGCTGGGGCTGCATTCACCTCCCCAGAAACCAACAGAGCTCACTCCCAGATGGAGGAGTGGCTGGAGAATCAGCCCACGTCCACCTCATCATCCTCAGAGCTCCAGCCTGCGTCTACTTTGCACCTGGAGGGAGAAAGGGGTAAAGACAGGGTGTGTAAATTGATTGGAGAACGAGTGCATTTGGGTTTATTGATGCCTTTTGCTGTCCAACCAGAACCTCCTCAGAGTGACAGACCACAAGTGCATGGAAAAATGGGGGGGGGGTGGTGGTGCAAACAGGGGTCAGTCAGCAAGCAGGTTTCCCTCAGCCAAGCAGATACACACACAGGCAAGTGTTTCCAAAAACCATTTCCGACAGCAGTCCCAAACTGGATGTGTCTTTGGGGAGAACATCACAAAATTCACATTGAAACAGCAAACTTAGGGACACGTCTTGGTTTTAAAACCCCAGACATTTCTCCCTTGATTCTGATTATTCTTATTTTGTGTGTGTGTGTGTGTGTGTGTGTGTGTGTGTGTATCTGTGTGCGCGCGTGTGTGTTCCTCCCCTTTTAATTTTGCTTGCTTTCTGTTGGATTGCTGAGCTGATGGACTCATCATGCACCTTATGGACATCTCAGCATCTTTAAGAGGCCTGTGCACAGGGGATGGTTTGGGTTTGCTTGGTTCTGCCACGGTTTTTTTGCTCCATTTGGCGGCGTCGGCGCATGTTCCAGATCCATTGATTATGGCTGTGAAAGTGGGCTTGGAATTCCCACCAGAGCCAGTGGTAAGGAAGTGACAACAACAACGACACAAACACGATATTTTTTTATAAGTACGTTAAAAAATAAAAAAAAAAAAGGGAAAAAATTAAAATTTAAAAAAAAAAAAAAGGAGAAGAAACCAAAGGTTTTGACAAACAAAGTGCCACAAAAAGATAAATATGGACCCTATTGTCATGCCTTGTTCTCACAGCTGGATGGTAGGAGTCTAAGGACAAGTAGCTGGCTTGGAGGGGAGTGGTGATGGGTGATGGGCAATCCTGCCTGGACATGTGCACATGGAAGGAAGAAGAAGCTGTTTAACATTAAAAAAAAAAAAAAAAGGTATCAAAATGAACTGGTGTGATCCTCCTGGAGTCAGAGGAACACCACAGGGGAAATCTGTGATCCTCCTGGAGTCAGAGGAACACCACAGGGGAAATCTGAGACTCACCCATGTTCTTTTTGCTGTTTTCAGGGCTGTGGTTTTGGTTTACTATGGTTGTTTTGTTTGCCATTGTTGTTATTTTGTTTCTTCTTGCTGGTACGGAGTTTTTCATCTGTATATTATATATATATTTTTCGAGAAAAACTTGAACACCTCAGAGACACTGAGAATGAAACACTTAAAGGGAATGGGAAGCACCACAAGATTGGTGCCTTCACCCTTCCCCAGTTCCCATTTAGGCATTTCTTCTTTCTCTCCACCCTCTTCTTTCCCCCATGCCCAGGATTTGAAAGAAAATCTGCATTTTGCTTCTCTTTCATCTCCTCCTTATTATTTTTTCCTTCTTTCTGTTTCTCTTTATTTGGTGTTTGAGCTGGTTTTGGCTTTTTGCTTGGAAAATGTGCCAGAATTGTGATGTAAATGCGTGGGCTTCCTCCCCTGTCCCCTTCAGTGCCCTTCCCATTTCCAACCACTGTCCCAGCATCCCCCAGTCTATGAGAGGTCTTGGCATCTTTCTTCCCAGCCTCACCTGTTGAGCTTAACTATTTTTTAAGTGCATGTAAAATACAACTAAAAACAAAGACACAAGCAGAAGAATGAGCCCTACTACAACACGGATAAGTTCTTTTCCTTTGATTTCTTTTCCCCCACCTCCCTTTCCACACTTGACCAAAAATTCCCTGATAAATTGGTATTGTTCCACCCTGTTTTTCAAGCCACATGGAGAGAACTGGAGCCAAAATTCCTAGAAGTCAATGGACAGGCTCTGAATATCCAGAATATGACAGGCTGATCTTCATGGGTGTTTCTCGAACACTGCAGTCAAATAATTAATGCTGACACTTTCAGCACCATCAGAAATGGGGAAAGGGAATTCATGGAGATTCTCTGAGGTTCTACTGAGAGAGCCAAGATTATTTCTCCACTGCAGGGTTTGCTCTGGGGCTTTGTGCCTGGTTTAGAGGAAGAAAAGGTGAACAATCCCTCTGCAGTCACGTCGTGTCCTCCCTGTGAGTGTGGTCACCTGTCAGTGCCACAGTGATCTGAGACATAATCCATCATGCCATGTGCTTTTGCAGACTGAGCCTTCCAGGCAACACCAGGAAACAGTGTGGGAAAAGTTGGGTGTGTCTGGAAGGAGGTGTTAGAGATTGTTTGCTCTCGAACACACAGCACAGGAGAACGATGGAGAAGGAGAAATGCAGCCACTCAAGGTCACCTCCCTCTCCCAACACAGAATCATAGAATCATTTAGGTCGGAAAAGACCTCTAAGGTCACGGAGTCCAAATGTTAAAACATTCCTCAATCCTTCTCTTCTCACTCTTCATTCTGTCCTGAACATTTCTGAAGGTTCGGTCCAAGCCCAGCCTTGCTCCAGTAGGTAAGAGGACTTCGTTTTCCCACTGCAGTTGTCTCACCTCTTTGACACTTAAGACCATAAAAATTATGAAGTCATGAAGATTTACCAGCACAATTTTTTTTTGGTGTTTGCTTTGATTGAAAAGCAATTACCAAAGTTTGCAGATCTCGTGCATTAACCCCCAGAAACTGTTTACCAGGAAGGGAAAAAGCCCAAGTAAATCACATAATTGTCATTATTTTTAATAATGCTGTTGAAAACTGATAGATAAAATCTGAAGAGTCCAGTGGTCAGTCTCAGTGTTGAGTCAGCCAACATAAGTATTACAAGTTCCTTCTAAGTCTGGGGTGCATGTGAGGTAACAACCCGAGCACAGAACAGCTGATATCAAGAGAGAAGTTGTTTAGAAGTAAGTCAAAACATGAAATGTAGGTCTGTCCTTCCCCAAGGCTTTAGTGAAGAGCTTTTCTTAGTGGGACATACATTTGTGTTTGAACAAGAGACACTTAAAAATCATAGAATGGTTTGGGTTGGAAGGGGCCTTAAAACTCATCTTGTTCCACCCCCCTGCCACGGGCAGGGACACCTTCCACTAGACCAGGTTTCTCAAAGCTCTGTCCAACCTAGTCTTGAACACTTCCAGGAATGGAAGTCCTTAAGTCCAAAGGCAATCTCAGACCAAAAAGAAAAGTCTGGCCTCTTGGAGATGACCAGGACTATTGTCTCATGTCACCAGGGCTTCAGTAAAACAAGTCCTGCTTCACCCTTCCCAGCAGCCTGCAAAGGAATTACTCATGAAGCAGAGTCATCTGATAGTGTGGACACATTTCTTGATGCTGTAGAAGGAATGAGGGAGAGGAGGAAAACTGATCCTCCTTCCCAAATTCCTGAGGTAGCTCTAGTGTGTAAGAGGTTTGCTCCTCCATAGGAATCTGTTGCTTTCTGTGGTGACCATTGCTGATGGGACCAGATGAGCACTTTACTGGAACCCCAGCAGTCCCACCAAGGTGGGTTTGGTCCCTTTCTCCTCCCTGCCTCAGCACTGAGCTACAGAGGCCAGACAGAGAGCACTGAGTGGAAATGTTCATTGTGTTGTGACCAGTTCGTGCGGGTTTTGGGTGGCTCACCAAAAATTGCATCCAGGAGCCCAGTTTCCTTATCCCTCACTCTTGAATGAGGATAAGAATATAAAAATCCAACTCTCAAATCAGTGTTGTTTAAACCTCTGAGATTCTGAGAACCAACCCCCCCAGGATTCCAGGGGAGCCCAGGAATGGATCTCTTTCCCAAACCAGGGAGTTATGATCATTTATGATCAGAGCAGATTGTGTTCCTGTGTTGGCAGATGCCTCACCAGGGCAGCTGTTGGGTAAAGAAGTACTGGCATAGAATTATGGAATGGTTTGGATTGGAAGAGACCTTAAATACCATCTAATTCCAACCCTCTGCCATGGGCAGGGATACCTTCCACTATCCCAGGTTGCTCCAAGCTCTGTCCAACCTGGCCTTGAACACTTGCAGGATGGAGCATCCACAACTTCTCTGGGCAACCTAAAACCACCCACAGAGCCTTAGTGATTCCAGGACAATTTGCTCTGTGCATCTGATGACTAGTAAGTTGTCCTCCAGGGCAGGTGGAGGTTTTGGGATATCCTAACTCTTCCCATCCAGTCTTGGTCTGATGAAACACATGAACTTCAGCCTCATGGTGTGAACCTCAACCTTCTGGTCATTCCCAGCCTGACTTTTCCTGATTTGCAGCTCCCATTTAAAAGTATTGTTTGATCCATAGACTCCTGCAGTTTTCCCTCACCCCTGACACTGTGCAAAGCCCCTTTCTCAAAAAAAAAAAATAATTTTGTTGTCTTACAGGGAATAACTGTTTTGAGGAGAATGCTTTCAAAATGGAGCTTGTCAACCATGTTTATTTGGGATGGCTCAGTTCACTACACCCTTAGAGAAGCACCCAAGGGGACACAATTTGTAGAGAGATGTCAAAAGTAAAAAAAAAAAAAAAAAAAAAAAAAAAAAGGATTTACACTTGGAAAAATAAACCCAACAAAAACCCATTGGAGTTGTAAAGCTGCTTAGTCTAATCAACCTGTCACATGTGTGAAGTTGGTTGTCGTTGTGGTTTGTTCATTGTTTGGCTGTTTTGGCTTGTTTTTTTTTTTTTTTAATCTTCTGTTCTAAAAATGGAGAGTTTACCTCAAGAAATTCTTTCTGCTTGGAAACAGATCACCTCAGAGACGCTCACAGCAGAGAGCAGCACGCAGGGAAGCTCAGTAAAGCAAAGTTGGGTGTGGAAAACAGAGGGAAAAGCAGGACATTCAGGCTCTTTCAGCATTCCCTTCTCTTGGTGATGTGGTCTGGCATTTCCCAGACTGGGAATTTCCCAGTGGAGAGGCTGCTGTTCACTGTGGGATAGACTGAAGCACAAGAGCCAGTTGGAGAAATCAAGGCACATGTCCAAGCTTGGAGTCCTTTCTGAAGTATCTTAAGAGAAACTTAGTGTTATTTAAAATTTCTATGCTGCTCTTTCTCCGTTCCCTGGAGAAATTCCACTTGCCAGCCCAGAGTGGGGTAAGGAAGCAGAGAGATTAGGTGCTAGCTAAATGTTCCCAGTGTTTTTCCCCAAGGATTTGAGAGGCAACTGGATTATTTAAAGTCACAAGACAGGCCCTTCCTTGTGTCTGACCCTGTGTCTTGGACATACATGAGCCCAGAAGTCTCATCCTCTGTTTTGCTAAAGCTTCCACCTTAAATCCAAAATCAATGGAAAGACATATCCTTTCACTTCAGTGTTACTAACAGCCTCAAAGAGATGTCAAGACAGCATTAGAAAGGAGGTTGGGATCCTTTTTCTTAGGTTGTTGTTGTTGTTGGTTTGATTTTCTTTTGAATTGATCCTAGTTAAAGAAAAAAAATTAAATAAAGTCTATACTATTTAAATTGGAATCCCGTTGTTACTTGGTAAAGGCAAAGCTTCTGTACCTTTGTTATAATTAATTGTATACCTGTGTATGTAAATATAAGGCATTCCTATTTTGCAGTCCAGAACAAAAAAAAAAAAAAAAAAAAAAAAAAAAAAAAAAAAACTATTTGTAATATAGAATAAAGTTTATTAAAAAAAAATAAAGAAATAAAAATGCCCCAGGCTGTGATTGCTGCTTCCTGTGGCCAAATGGAGCCAGAGGAAGGGAATACAAAAGAAGGGGAAGCATGAGAGTGGATAGACCCCAGTTATTTATACAAAGGTATGGGGAATCGACCTGCTC